GTATTCATGGAAGTAGACAACCCAAATAGGACTGAAACCCACAGCAAGTTGACTGTCACAAAATAAAACAAATGGAGAAATACAGTATACTGTACACAGAATCACAGGTTTTAAAGGGCATAACAGGTGATGGATGTAAAGGTTCTACATGAGGGAAGCCGAGATTTCGGGGAAGCAATGAGGATGGTCGCAGGGCTGTCCGAGGGCAGAGCACTGGTCAGCACAGGGCTGATCTCAGGGGCACACATAACAGATGGACTGAGGAATCACGGTCTTTAGCTGGCCATTTACACGAGTGGTCTGGGAGACATGGGAGTTTGTCAGGACCATGACGAGGAGAGCTGACAGTGGCAGTGCATGGAGCTGTGGCCTATAGGGTGGCAGCACCCACTCAGTGTTGGAGGAAAGGTTCTGATGAACTGCACTTGTTTTCTCTGCACTAGTGCTGAGAAATTCACTGCGGGGCTTGTTTTGGCCTCTGCTCACTGGCTCCAGTGCTGGTATTCACTTCAGAAGAATCTTGTGCTGCTTGAAGGGGGTGGGGGTAAAGTGGCCTTTTAAGATAAATAGCACTGTAGGAGTTAAAGCTTGTTTTGTATAAGTAGTCTTGGAAAAACCCCGAGAGAGCTCACAGAGAGCTCGCAGAGAGCTAATGATATCTGCAGGAGCCAGAAGGAAACATCAAGTGGAAAGCCATCTTGTATTTCTTCCTCTTTGCCACCTGATCAGGTTTTCTCTCATGACTGCTTGAAACTGTCCTCTTGTTTATTTGCTCTTGTATTTATTAGAACCTCTTCATTGTCTGTGCTTAGAAAATTTAAATTGCTGATATTATATAAATTTATTTTTCCAGCTCATTAATTGTCCAGGGCCTAGGAGCCTACAGAAGTGTTTGTCGTCAATTTCTGACTACAACTGTGCACTTTCCAGGGGAGTCAGAATTAGAGGGTATTATACCTTGGCACGCTGACACTGAGGGTAGGGTGATAAAGTGAAAAGGTCTCAGAGGTCAAACTACTTGGACTTTGCATTCCTATGAATAAGAGAGGGGAAGAGGGTTCCCCTCTGGTGGCCCTTTCCACCTGCTCAGCAGCGCCTTGCTCTGGGAACAGCATACCCATGGCTTGGTTCCACAGCATCAAGCTGCAGGTATAAAAAATGACCATGACTCATCCTCAAGGACACACACTTCAGCGGACAGTTTTGAAAACCCCTTCTCACAGAAGGCTAACTCTAGAATGAAGCCACTCCTTCAATTCTTCAGAGCAGGTGGATGGCTATGTCAGACCTTTGAGAGGTCCTAATTTGAAAAGAGATTAGTAAGAAGACTTTAGATGCCAAAAGGAAGAGAGAGTAGGAAAGGGCAGGGGAAAAAAGAGACTCAAAGAATGAGAATATAAATGGAAAAAAGAACAGGAGGTGGAAGCTAGGAAATTCTAGCATGCTTCAAAATTTGCAATAGCGATGGAACTTGTACTTTACCAATCTCCCACCAGAAAATTCTACCCAGTGTCCTTTTCTCTCTTTCTGGCAAAATTCCCTCAGATTTGAACACAGAAGTTTGTGACAGCTTTAAGTAAAATCCACTGCAGGAGCCTCATTCTGATCTATTGGTGTCAGGCAAGTACAAGTCTGTTCCCCTGGCTGAAGTCATGGACTTCATGGACTGGGAAACTGTCTCCCCAGGCACAGAAACCTCTTCCCTAGGTCTGCAGTCTGTGTTCTCTGCATGCTTAGCCTTCCCTCATTTGAAGGAGATGACCCTTGCCCATATAAGTAAGAAGTGAAATCCTACTACTAGGTATGTGGTCTACAAGAAGTCAGAACATCTGGCCTACTGGCATAGTTGAGTTGCTGGCTGAATCATTTGGCTTTCTTACAGTATAGAGTAGCAGTACCATGCAGAACAAGCTACGATCTTTGAAGATCAAAGAAAAGGCTATGTGTAAGTGCAGATAGAAAAATATGAATCACAGAAAGGGAGCAGTTCTGTTTCCCCTAACCTTGCCAGAATCTTAAGCTGATCCCCAGTCCTGGGACACATGGTTGGGCTCTACTCTTTTGGAGAAGGGTGAAGCCAATTCCACACATTTATATTCTCAAAGCAGTTACCAACATAATTATTTGAACGATGTTGATTATATCTGGGAAATCGCTGAAACTTTCAGTACAAGGGGCAATTCTTTTATTTAAACATTAAAAAAATGAAAAAGAAACATACAAAACAAGCACCTGGAAAGGACAGGTAACACTGTCTAAAGATGTACAACCAAGCACCAAGCTCAAGACTACACGGATTCGGGCAGCTAATGATGACAGATAAGAGCGTATGCCTTTCTTTGCTACTGGACAACAGTATCTTCTGAAGACAGTCAGGGCAGGAACACATTTCTTTGTGTTGGATAAGAGACATGAGCTTGTGTTTAAGATGCTGTCAGCCTTACAGCTGCTACTCAGCACACTAACACCATATCTGATCTGCTCTATCTCAGATTCTACTCCAAAGATTAACATCAGATTTTATGTAGCAAACATGTCTGTGTGGAATTGTGGTCCATTTCCGTTCAGGGAATGATGTGAGTGAAACTCCCTTACCTAGGGACCCTGGTTTTAAGTAAAGTATCAAGGAGACACTGTGTGTCAGTCTATGCTCTGGGCTGTAGACATCTCCCAATCTGTGGCCAATAGCACTTCTTCTCAGAAAATACGTCTTTGATTCCTTAAGAAGCCCCTCGAAATATTTTTAAGGAAAACAGAAAAAAAATCAAACAAATTAGAAAAAGAATGAAAATCAAGACAGGGTACCGATCCAGATAGACCTTCATTTCAATTCTTCTTTGCCCTTCCTAATTGTAAAACCTTCTACAAATTACTTAAAATGCCTCTGAAACTTGGTTTCCTCACACTTAACACAAGGATAGAACCATCGCTCCTCTAGCCAGGAAGACTGCAAAGAATACATGAGCCATTTTTGTCTGCTCAGACTGCCATAAGAAGATATCACAGACTCATGTGTTTAAGGCTCAAAGTCTGAGATTGGGGTGCCATTGATTAGATTGTGGTGAGGGTCCTCTTTTGGTGTGTGGGCAGCTAAATTCTGAGAGACAAGAGTATGAACAAGATCTCTGGTGTCTCTTTGTGTATGGGCACTAATCCCACTGGACCAGGGCAGTGTCCTCATGAACTCATCAAACTCTAATTACCTTTCAAAGCCTCATCTCTAAATGCAAATCATTTGGGGGGTCAAGACTCCCTATTTGACATGAGAATTTGTGGGGATACACATTCAGTCCATCCAGGAGATAATGTATGCAGGGTTTTAATAAACATCACTCTTGTTTTGTTTGAAGGACAAGACATTCAGTTATGAGAATGTCTTTGAAAGTTGATATATTAAAATCATAATTGACAGTTCACTGCATAAATTAGTATTTCCATTAGATCTTTTTGAGAGGGGACCAGAAAATTCAGAAAATGTTGAGAATTCAATTAGATTACCTTTAATTTAAAGACTTCAGTTAAAGTCCACAAGTGTTTATGAGTAAATTCAGTTCCTTGAGAGAGATATGTCATTGGTTCCAGAGGCATGGACGATGTGTAGTGTACCACACTTCCCAAAATGTGGAACAAAGAGCATGGATTTTGGAAATTGACTTTTATACATTTATACATTTTATACTTTTATACTTTTATACTTTTGTCCATTTCTAATAGATTACCTTTAAGGTTTTTAAGCTTCCTGGATCTCTTAATCAATTTTTGTGACCCATAAAGCATTGTTAGGGGTAGTCAGGAAGATTAAATAAAAAGCACTCAGCATAGTGTCTGGCATATAAGAGAGTCATTGGGCTACCGGTAGAAAACCGGGCTCTTTGCCTTGGCTTTGAGACCTTGAGCAAGTCATTAAGCTCCCTGATTCTCAGCTGAATAAATATCTCTTTACTCTCAGCTGAGACTTGAGAGATAGACTTCTTGTTTTGGCATTTACTAGGTTACTTGGTTCCTGTTTCAAATTAGTCAAGTTACTTAACTTCTGTATGGCTCGCTCACCTATAAAATAGGGACAACAGAGCTACAGCAGAGACTAAGTGGGTGTCCCTGACTCAGAGAAAAAGAACTCATAGTGAGGTATCTATTGCCTACTGTTACAGAGAAATGCAATTGCAGAATGGACTGGTGAAGTCACAAAGGCTGATAGGGAATCAGGCCTGGATTTGGGCTTGGGTGCCTGAACTCCAGGGTGCATCCTCTTGACCTCTGCAAAACACTTATTCTGTAGTATTTTGTATTATTTTAGCATTCAGAACCTGTTTACAAAGCCTAACATATGCAATGCCTTTTGTAATTTGGTGGCAGGAAAAGTTTCGAGTCTTACCAGAAACTAGCATGTTTCCTCTTTTTGAAAATAAAAATTATGCAACTTATCATGTGTTTTCTTTTTTCTTTCTTTCTTTTGGTCTTGGCTTCCAGGAATCTCAAAGCCAAACTGAACATTCAATCACACCCACCAAATGGCTTCCTTCTTCCTATATTTTTGTTCCTTGTTTTCTTTTTAAATTTCTTTTCTTTTTTACCAACATTTTCATTAGTGTTTCTTGTTGATAGAGGCCTCAGAGCTACTTGGAAAGTTATGATGTTGAAATAAGGATATATAAGTTGACATGTACAGGAAAAACTAAAATTTTGAGCCTTACCTGTTTCACTTGCTCAAATAAAAATGGGAAGGAAGACATTTAGAATGCATGACTTTAAGAGATATTTTAAAGGATAAAAAAGAAAACCCACCAAAAAACAGACAGAACAACCAAGACTAACAGGCCAACTGAAATGGAAACTGCAATAAGTATGTCTGAGCCTGGAAGCATTTGAAATCTCCCTGGCTGGAACCCATCATTTCTTAATTATATCCTGTGTGTGTTTTGCAAGATGTAAACTGCTGTCAAGGGAAGGACAGTCTCAGACAGGGGAGGGACCACAGCCCATCCCTGGATCCAACATACCTGCACAGAAGCGAAGTCCCCCGAGGCACAGGCACCCAGAAGAGCAGCACCCACAAGAACAGACTCCACCTCTTGTGACAGGACCACAGGCATGCCTGTGCAGGACAAGGCCACATTTCATTTAGGAAGCAAGGCCAGAGCCGTTTGGGGAGGCAGCAAGCAGCTCCAGTGGTGAAACACCTGACATCTAGGCAGCATCCCCCCACCCTAATCCTGACCATAACCCTGTTCCTTGGGATCACCGGTTCTAAAGGATTTCACTGCTCGTGCTGCTGGTGCATCAGCCCAGAACTCCATGGGAACCGATACCATATCTATATCATTCCATGAGATGTGGGTGCCTGGGTCTTCCAGACTTCTGCTTGGTGCTACCGGCCATTTGATTCAAATTCAGCTCAACAAATGTTTATCATGAGCTTTGCGGGGACCAAGGAATACTGAGATCAATCAGACTGTGTCTTGCTGTTCCAGTCTCAGAGGGGAGATGGATGAAAAAGAAACCTGGGGCATTAGGGGCCTGGTGCTCAGCTGAGCAGTACCAAGTGGTGGCCACCACTGTTAGAATTAACATTATTGGTGCATGAAGCTCTATGTGAAAGTCACCTGGGCTGGAGAGTGGAACGGGGAAAGGAGCTGAATGAAGCCCCAGTTAGTTCCTGGGTTGCAGCCCTCAGTGATCTGGAGACAGACTACCACTGTGCAAATTTTGACTTCCTTGATTTAATTGTGTGATCCTAGGTTGGTTACCTGACCTATCTGTGCCTCAATTTTTTCAACTGCAAAAATTTTACCCATTTTTGGGTTACTATGAGGACTAACAATTCTATTAAAAGTCAGGCATTTAAGAGTATGGCCTCAATATAAAATAAGAACTAAGATACATTATGTTCAGGTACAAACACCCAATGATAAATGTAAATGTACTGTATACCTAGAATGTACCAATTAATATATAAATAAATAAATATAAATAAATAAATAAATGAAAAAGTCAGGCATTTAAAACAGTGCATGGCTTGGAGAAAGCAGTAGATAAGCAATGGCTGTTAAGATTCTTGAAGCTTACCTTCTCTGTGACGTCTCTCACCCATACAGCCCCAGTGGGTGGAACTCCCCACCCACCACTTTCCCCTGACTCTCAACCAGTCCCACCTCCTCCCCACCTCTCTCCCCTGGTTCTGAGCCCCAACTGTGTCCTTTTCCTGCTGGCTACTTCTCTGACTAAGCTCCAGCTGGGTTCCCTCTTCACAGAGCCCCCAGGGCCTTTATGCCTCCAAGCTTAGAGGTGGCAACATGTCTGTAACCTTAGGCGACTTCCTGGGTGCCTGAATTTCCCTGCACCCCGAGCAATCTCCTTAAATAAACCCCTCATTCTACTTGTCTTTAGCTAACCCTTTGAGGGTGTAGGTCTTTCCATGTCTGGGCCTGGCTGGACCCACACCTCTGCCCTCTGGGTTCCCACCCTGCTCTTTGGTACCTGGTCTTTCCGTCAGAGGCCCACAAGCATGTTTTCTCTTTTCAAGACAACTTTAGGCAAGACATCACTGTTTTCTGTATCCCCACACCAAGCACAGCTCTTGATGGGCTGATGTGCAGAGTGAATAAATGAACGAACGGTTAAAATAATGAGTAAGGCAGGAAGAGGGAAACCCTGACCGAAACTGCCAGTATTCAAAACAAAATTCAGCAGAAGGAACATTTAGTTCCAATTCACCAAGGGAAACCTACAATTACTTGGTCCACGCCGAGTGTTTCTTGAAACCACAGTTGACTGAAGCGCCAGGGTACAAGGAGGTTCTTCCTCACACTGATGACATTTCCCGAGCTGGCAAAGCCCCATCTCCCAGCCTGTACAGAGCAGGCTGCTCCTAACAGGGCAGAGATTTTGGTTCCAAAATATCAGACTGCTTTTTTTTTCACTGTCCCTTCTCCTTTTGGGCATGAGGCCACCTGGACTGAAAAAGTGAATGAACATTTACTTATCACCTACTGAGAAGCAGGCACAGTTTGATGAACAAACTCCAGCACATTTACTGCTCAGCATGATCTACAGAGGGGAGGTGATGACATTTCTGTCTTCCAGAAGAAACAACTGAGGCTCAGAGAAGGAAAGGAACTTGCTCTGGGTCACAGAGCTGCCCTTTTGCTCTTTCTACGACTCCACACTGTCTCCAAAGAATCTTCCAAATCCTTTGTGTTTTTTTCATGTGTATTTCTGAGAATAATGTCCAGTCCCTATGGTCCTCTCTGAGTCTTCCTTGGCAGGGAAACTAGAACAGTTACAGTGCTTAAAGGCATCAAAGCACTACCTGTCCACTGGCTGCTGTGTACTGCTGCCTGGGCAGACGCCTTTCACAGGGACAGATGCAAATGTGTTCTTTCCTCTGGGAGCTGGGTGAAGGAGAGGAAGAGGAATGTGAACTATTTTATCTGCTGCACTAATGAGTTTAGCAGAGCCCAAAGCATTTAAAGGCAGATGCACTTTGCCATCGCTTGTCAATCACAGGCTTCCAAAGGCAGAGGAATTTCAGGCCAAAGAAAAGGTCCCTTTGTCCAAAACTAACTGGTGCACAGTTAGAGACAAAAAATCCAGTTTCGATCTGAATCCAAACACTGATTAACAGCCTTTTTGTCCAACAGTGCAGAGGACAGCAGTTTCCAAAGCAGAACTTTCAAGGAGGCTGCTTTGCCCCTGCTTCTGAGTCAGCTCAGGGATATTGGGCTGGACGGGGACTCACTCTCACCAGGGCTGGAGCCGGAGTCCCAGGGCCACACACACTGGGTCATGTCTACCTGCCATGCCCCTACAGGCCCTGGTTTACCCATTCTCTTAGGCAATATGTCACCCACAAGTGACTTCTATTTCCCTCCTGCACCCAGGTTGGATGTTTTTGGCTGTCAGAAGGCTGAAAATTGGAAAGTCACAGGCCAGATTTTAAGCCTGAACCTTATCTGAGCCACCCAGATGATTTTTAGATAAAATGTGGTCATGGTTTTTCTCCTGGGGGAAGTGATTAGGCAATCTGGCTCCTGTGTCCCCTCTTTCTGCTCTCTCCAGCCCATTCCATAGGTCTGGATTCCTGGGGAAAAGGGAGTCATCATCAAACAGTTACAAAAGAAGAAGCAAGAAATCTGGGTAAGGAGTAAGGTACAAGGACAGTGGGCCCAGACAGGGTTGGTTACAAGCTAGTTGTGTCTTTTACTGACTGTCTGACTTTGGCAAGTCAATTAATTCACCTCCCTATCCTCAGTTAGCTTGTAAGATGGGAGCATTGGTTTTTAATTTCAGTGGTATGGGAGGATTAAACGTATATAGAATGATTCACTCTGACACATAGTAGGTAACTGGTTCATGGTGGTAACTGTTATAGTTCCCATCCGATGGATGTACCCTTATACTGTGTCCTTTCCTAAGCTATCCTCTGACTTGCATCTCAGTCTGTTTATCTCTAAGATGGGGGTAGTTAACCCTGATTAGTTTCATCTTACAGTGTGCACTGTCTCACATGACCTGGATGGGGAGGCAAAGTGACCTCAGAGGCTCTGACTTGCCCAGCTGTCAGAATCAAGGAACCAGGGACAGAGGACAGTGAGGGCCATGATGACTAGAGGCCAGTGTCAGATGGGCTTTCATTCGGTGGGTGTGGGGACTGTGGATAGGCTCCAATCCTCTCCTACTTTCCTCCCCGCCCTGCCCTGGTCCCTGGCCCACTCTGGGATGGGTTCTGGGAGGGAGCAAGGAGACAACAGTGGAGAGGAAGCAAGAAGGGTGAGGGTACACATACCAGCCTTTGTGCCCCAGCAGCTCTACCAAGGATGTTCCTCTGCCACTGCCTGCTCATATCATAAGGAGCTCAGACTGGTACTATAGCTTCCCTCCTCCTGCGTCCTGACCCCTGATTGTGATGAGTAGAGAAGGAATCCCAGGATCTTGGTCTCTTGGTTCAAATTCCCAGTCTTCAGCTAAACCCAGGTTTTCCCAGCATCTGGACTCTGCATTCTCTCTTCAGGACAGCATCCTGATCACTTCGTCTAGACCCCATGCCCTGTGCTGTAACAGGAGCTTCCATCACCTTGTTCTCTCAATCAGAGCTCTTGCTGCACTGAACTGAGTGTGTCTGTTTGCTCTTTCCCTTCTTCCTCAGTAGATCTTCCTCAGCAGGCCTCTGCAAAGGCAAGAATCACCCTAATTCATCTCTGTATCTCCACTGTTCCCTACCGTGCCTGCATCAGAAGAGGTACTCAGAACTGTGGAGCAAATGCTTAAGTTAAGATCCAACCCTTGCCAGTGTCTCTCATCTCATTTAGTACTTGGATATGGATAGAAGTCACTTTCCCAATGATGAACATGAAGGCTTCCTAGGCATGTTCATAGCTTGGCACAATGCTTAAGTCCTCCTGCTCTCAGCCAGCCTAGAGTGTGGCTATGCCCATTTGCCCATCTCTCTTCCCATGTGACTTACCAGTAATATCTGCATGCATCTGCACAAAAAGGGGATTTTTACTCAGGCCACCACACAAGAAAAGAGTACTGATAGAGTGCCCTGCTGCCTCCATGGCCTCTATGATGAAGCGGGTTCCAAACTGAAAAGGAAAAGCATAAGGAACCATTAGTATGGTAGCAAAAGGAAATGATGAGCACTTACTAAATGTTTACACAGTGCTTAATGCTGCACTGACAGCTTTATATCCACCACCTCAGAAAGCTGAAGCTAAGGGAGATATGTTGCCTGTGATCACACAATTAATTAAACCTAGGCCTGCTGAGTGAGAAATGCAGTCTAGGCCTGCTGGACTCCAAAAGTCTCTTCACTACTCTACTGTTTACTTCTATCAGTAATTATTCAACACTAACAAAAACAGTTGATGATGTTAACACAGTTAATATTAACACAGTTCTTTTCAAATATTTGATGACAGTCTATTGCAACCTAGACACACTGTTAGATACTGGGATTGGAGTGACTGCAGTACTGCTCTGAAATCACCAGCATTGATGGCGTTGGGGTCAATCTTCTTTCACTAAGCAGAACTAAAGACTCTTTCCTCAGCAAAGGTGCCGAATAATATAGCAACAGAAACATAAGAAAAGGGGCTCTAATCGCACAAAGAACATGAGATGCAAGTCTTCAGGCCAGCAAAGGGCTAAGCCTGCATTTGTCATGGCCTGAAGTGAGGCAATGGTTCTGTGGCAGTGAGGCTTCTGGAGCCAGCATCTCTTCCACTGGTGGCGAACCACTGGCATGAGTGCCGCAGCGGGCTGTCTGTATCACTGAAAGCTCTGAAAGGTTTGCCATCCTCATGACCTAGGGTTATGTGGAAGACTTTCACTCTGCCTGGCTCAGAGCTTCACCTATTGGGAGCTCAGCCCTTGTGTTCCAGCCTTTCTGTGCTGGGTCCTTCCTAAAATAAATTATCCTTATCCCTGTCTTGCTGAATGCACCAAACTCAGTAAAAATTGTGGTAATTTGAGAAGACACTTCCTTCCTTAGGGTCACTGAGGTGAACTGTAATGTAAATCTTTAGTTTTGACCAGGCTATTCAAATAGCTGGAGATTCTAATTCATTTGGAAATGCAAAAGACCCTGAAAGTTCCAAATTCACAATTTCTTTGGGGGTAAGGATTAAAACAAGAGCAACTGTGACCTGGCCTTAAGAAGGCAGCTACGGAGTGATAGCTGAGGGGTGGCTCTGGAGAGCAGTGAGGAGGAGGACTAGAGGTGGATAGAGAGCCCTTGAAATGTTTAGAGAGGAGTAATGCTGAAGTGGAGGCAGGGGAAGGTCAGGTGAGGCAAAAGGTCACGGATCTGAGGGGCCAGGATCTCCACAGAAGACCCTCCTTAGTGTAGCCACCAAGAAGAAGGTGAGAGGTAGGCTGCAGAGGAGTTAAGAGCCAACACCATAATTTTTAGTGAAAGTATGACAGTGTTGTGCATAGAAAAGAAGTAGAGATAGTTCAACTTGAGGGCAAGAGGGAGCAGAAATTTGGGAAGCCAGCAGGATGCCCCCCTGATCTCGGGCCCCAAGGCCTGCGGCATAGAGCAAGGTAAATCTCCTTTGACAGGGCTAACTGGAGAGGCCAGGAGGTACCTCTGAGGAAGGAGGTATCAGAGGGGGGACCTGAAGCCAGAGGGTATGGAATCCCAATGGTTTGGAGAAAATGATGAGGGACGGGGCAGTTCAGGAGCAAAAGGCATAGCAGTTCCAGCCCTGAGGTCTTCAGAGTTTGTTGAAGCCACTCATGAATCTGGTAAAAATATGGACTAGGTGAAACTTGGGCCTCTAGTGAGAATCCACAGATGTATCGTGTTTAAAAAATTAAAACATGTTGTAAGGCCAGATCCTGCTTATTGACTATAGCTGATTACTCCCAGATGTTTTTCTTAGGCCTTTTGAGGGTCATGAACCCCACTGAAAATATGATAAAACCTACTGACCTAACCAGAAAAAATAGGTCTCACAGAAAACAGTTCTATACATAACTCCATGAGGTCACCAGATGCCTTTAAATCCACCATGGATCATTTGATGCCCATGGATTGCAGGCAGTGCTGGTCTCCTGGAGGGGTGGGGGTCTGTAAGAGCTGAAGCATGAGTTTTAGGTTAAAGAGGGAAAAAAAAGAACCTTAAGCCAGCATTCAGGCATTTCACCTATTTCTTATGCCTAACCTAAGATTCTCATTTGTTAAATAGTAACAAAAATGCTATATTCATTCCGCTGAAAATTCTATGGCTTGTCAAAAATGGTGACATAAAAAAAAAAAAGTGCAGTCTCCAACTTGATGAAACACAGTGATACCTAACTTCCAAGCCTGCTTCTGTAGGCAGTGTGTGCTAGAGCACATGGAAAGAGCTTACAAAAGAGCTCTTCTGCTCATTAGCTAGGTGCTACAAATTCCACTATGCACTTTAATGACATCTCTAATCTTAAGACAAACTCAGAAACTACATATTGTTATCCCCACTCAGGAGCTATGTAATTTGCAGGGAGGGTAGCTGCCTTCCAATTTGCATGGGAATGCCATGCAAACTGAAATTTCTGATACTTCTAAAACCAAGCACCTAGAGCTGCATGACTGGCAGCCTTAAGAGGAGGGTAATGCAAAGCAGATGTCCTGGGAAAAGCAAAGACCTGAACAAGGGCACTCCCTCCAGGGGCCATGACAGCCCATCTCACCCCAGAGCAGCACTATGGTCCGCATTTTCCCTCCCCAGCAGTTCACTACAGGGCATTCCCTTTTGGTGTGCCAGACTCGGCTAAGTGTAACCCCTCATCCCCCTGAAATGCCCCCACCAAAGGGCTTTGTGTGAAAATGATTAGGTGCTCACCTTTCTGGAAAAAATGTTTCACCAATATATTTAAATTAAAACTAGGCGATTCCATTGGGAATGTACAGAACCAAATGCAAATCAAGAGATTTCAAATGCAAATAGTACTTTTTAAAGGGTCTGTTCTGAAAGGAAAACTGCAGAACAGGCGGTGGATGAACTGGGGGCTGACAGGTCTCTCAATGAAGCCTGAGCAAGGGAGAAGTGTATTGCATAGAGGATCTTGCAGTCCTGAGAGTTAAGTTTTCTCTCCTTAATTTCATTCTATTCCTACAAAACACTAACCATAAATATTACCACAGAGAAGCACTTGTTTAACTTATAAACATCAAATAGGGGCTAGGGGAATCTCAGGGCCCAGGAAAGAAGCAAAACCAAACCATTCTTTTTCAAGCCAAACAGGGTAATATCTGTTATCAGAATGCTTTATTAAAATGCACATTTTTGCCTAAAAGATCAGCATCTGACACATTTTTAAAAACTGACTGAACTCCTCCCAATTCAATAAACTCCTCAATAAAGCCTTATCAAGGAAGAAATCTTATTTTAAATGCCTTCCCTTTAATGTATTATAAAGATCATTAAAGCGATGGACAGAATAAATCTGATCACATTAAATACATGTAAGGCCCATTAAATACAAGATTGATTTTCCAAACTGTGTACTCAGGACAATATAGCTGACTTTTCCCCTCTCCTGCCTCCATTATTTTAACTCACCTTATATTGGTGGACTTATTGCTGCAATGTTCTTATCAGGAAAAAGACCTCTGAGAAAATCCCAAGCCAAATTCAAATTCTAAAATGTGTTAGTAAAAATTGTTCTTAGGAATATCCGAAGGCCTATTTCATCCAAGTAGAGTTTACAAATAGATCAAAGAAAAATGCAGCATTGTAAAGTAGAAAGAGCAGGTGCCTGAGAACAAGATGGATAAAGGTTCAAATTCCAACTACCATGGACTTGCTGCGTGACCCTAGCACAGCCTTCTTTCTCTTGTCTGTAAAAGGAGGGTGATACTTTTGATTTACAGGATTGCTGCCTTCAGTCACAGCACAGCTGTGGCATTCTGATGCCAGGAATAGGGTCGGAGACCCATGGAAGTTCATGACCACTGTGTGACGATGCCCCTCAGCACTTCCTGTTCGACGTTGACCTTCATGTCCACCTCTTAGCATTGTGCTCACCAGGTAAGGATCACTCAGCTGATTTTCTGGATTATCTGTTTCAAGTGATTCATTCTATTGTAAGACTTCTCATACAATCACGTTACTATATGAAGACAGATTGACCGGTCTGCTATTTATAAGGACTGTTTAATCTGTTGACTGATTCTATACTTCTACACAGTGACATTAAAGAAGGTATACATTTCTTTCATGTTTGGTAAGTTGTTTTTTATTGTACATGCATGGCACCTGATAGATCTGACCAATTAAAGAACACTTCTATTGGTGATATTGATAAATATGCATTTAGTTCTAACATTCAAAGTAATAAAGTTATGAAAGTAGTTCTTTTGAGAAGTAAAATAATTGAATAACCCTTATGTCTGTGTAGCATTAACAAAGCTATTTGTTTAAAAGGTCTTGTTACTTAATAATAAATTTTGAATTTAAATTTAGTAAATCGATGTTTCCGTTACGTCGCTTCTTATTCTCTTTCCAGAAGTGACTAGACCACCTGGATTAACTGTTATTTTGCTGTACCGACCTGCTCTGAGACCTTGAAAGCCATGACTGTCTCCACCAAAATGTACTTTCTAACAGGTATACACATATAAACTTTCTTGTAATTTCAGGGTTATCTTCTTATGCTCCACTCCTGGGTCACCTCTAGATAACAATATTTCGTAAACAATATTTGAGTTTCTAGGATTTTGTCTTCATTTTGGAATTTAGTTTAAGAGCTCCTACTATTTTAGATTTAAATTCTCCTTTCTGTTAGTAACCATCGAACTACCTCATCTAAACAGTCAATTATAAATTATTCCACAAAGTGAACAACATTGTGTGTTTTTTAAATTTGGTCATTCTTAACACCAGTTTTTCTAATGCAAGCACACATGGCATGTGCCTGCTTTCAACTCCACTTAGAGGATAAATTAGATAAATGAGCGATAGCTCAAAGACTTTATTCCATTCGGCTTTCAGTTATGTGGGGTTATCAGTAAAGCAGGACTGTCAAATTCCCTTCCAGAAAACCACCATCTCTCTTTAAATTAAGACACTATCACAAGAGCTTGGGATACTTATGGCTTAGAGTAGTACAAGAGGTGATCTAAAGCTGTAAAGAATGTTTAAATTAAAAAAAAATTACAATGAAAATACTACTTTGTCAATAATCCCCTTTAAAATAACTGCCCCCGCGTAAAACACACTTGTCCCATCATTCTTGCCACTTTCTGCAGCAGTTTTGGAAGTCCTTTTTTGTGTCTTTATGAGGTAATATTAAAAAATAAAGCAAATTTTGTTGCTGAGTGCCATCCAATGGAAAAGGTGGCCCATAAAAACGTTACGAGGTGTCTTCCTCAACTTTATTCACTGGATGTGGCGCTACATGACTTCTGACAGTCCTCCAAAATCAAAAGAACCATGACAGGTAAACATTTTGAATCAATCCATGACACTGAGGCACTTATGAGAATACCACTGAAGACACAAAAGAGGATTTCCAGAACTGCTTCAGAAAAAGGCCAGAGTGATGGGATAAGTGTGTCCAGAGTGAGGGGGACTGTTTTGATGGGGATTGATAGCAATGTGTCTTTTACTATAATAAATGTTTTAAAAATTTAATCACACATCATATTTTAAAATCATACTTCATATACTGATAGCCCCAGATTCTTTTTAAAAATAGCATTAAAGTATCTTACAGCAATGGCTTGAACTGTGGCCAGGTAGAGGATGGCAAGATCATCAAGGTCCTGAGACAGTGTCAATCCAGTGACCTGTAGGGAGAAAGAAAAGAAAAGCAGATGGCTTAAGGAGCTGCCATGGCTAGATATAGTTCCCATGAACTCTGAATGTGTTGTGTTTTCTTGCTGAAACAATTTCACATGCAAATCCCCTTTTTGTAAGCTGAACGTGGAATGCTTACTAAATCATTTATTCTCTAGACCTGGGAAAAAATACCCCTTCTTCCCCTTAGCCCCCCAAGTGCCTTGCCCTTGGAAGAAACCAAAGCAAAACAAACACTACAGGATGATTGTGTTTGATGCTTCTTAGCATGAGATTAAACGGCTGTTTCTTTTTCTTAGAAATATCTAATTTCTGTGGCTTATAAGAAATGAACGTGTGAACAGTGGCATTCTACTACATTCTCTTGTCTCAGTTCTGCTTCTGTCAGAATTCAGTAAGTGCTCAAGGGGTATTCACAGTAAAATAATCTGTCTTCTCTAAATGTCACACCTACTGAGTGATAATTTAGAATCTGTGGTTTGAAAGGGAATCCCATGAAAGTCAGTTGGAACCATATGCTTATATGTAGAAGGTCCATCTCTGAGAAATGCCAGAACTAAACGGAAGCTGGATTTGGATGTCAGGAAGACTTGTCCGCAGTTCCACCTTCACAACTCTTATTCATCAAGGTGTTCTCATGAGACATATCCAGAGGGTAAAGCCTGATGGTTTCTTCAAGCCTAGCCTGAAGTTTATAGGCATCAATACAGTGGTACCTTGGTCTATAAACTTAATTACTTTCATGGCTCTGGAGAAGATGGCCACATTCATGTTCATGTGGAAAGATAGCCCGATTGTGTTCATCATCTGACGCAGAGTTCCCAAGCAAAAAAAATTTTCCCAAACATTTCTTTTGAGAATCAAATTATTCACAAACAAAACCATTTGTGATCCGAGGTACCACTATACTATAGTTCACTTTAGGTTTTCACATTATAAAATTAATTCACACAACATGCGTTTACCCAAGTTATATGGTATGATAATCTTGAGCTGAAGTAGGCTTGAGTATGCAGCTTGCAAAAAAATAGAAGAGGTGAGTGGTCTACCTGGGTCCTGGTCCTTCTTCCTCTTCAGCCCTACTTAATATAGTGTATCCCCATGAAGTTATGGTTCAGAGTTCGCAGCCTCAGTCATTGGAGGATTTTTTTTCTTAGAACCTAACTAATAATTGTTTGTGGAAACTGCAAATATCCTCTGCAATTTTTTTTGGAAGGAGGTTTGCAAGTAGCCAATCCTAGAGTGATATTCAGTTCTCCTTGCTGCCGATCGGCTGCTGCCCTGTAACCCCTTGCAGGGGGTCACTGTGAGATGTATCAAACTCTGGGGCTCTGAGGTCATCAGAGGGCACCTGAGGACACAATCCTGTCATTCAGTGCAGGCACACAATGGGGCTTCATTATATAATAATGAATCAGAATAGACAACCACACATGCACCACACAGCCTGCAAGCTCGCCCAGAATGTTTTGTCTTACTATGTCTCAGTAAGCTGATGAAAGCTACTATAAATGGTGAGCTGGAAAATAAAGCTGGGTTCCTGCTGTGTAATGTTGGTTCCATGTGTGTTCTTTTCTTTGGAAACCTGGCCTGACTGGGCCTCCCTTCAGCTCACCAGCCCCAATACCTCTCTGGTAGATGTATCAGCATTCTCTCATCATAACAGGTTGCTGTACCATGTGTAGCTATCTCAGGTGTTCTCATTTTTGTTCTTCTTAAAGCCCTAAGATCCCCAAGATACTGCCAAAACATCCTGCACTTTGTAAGGATTTATTAATACAGTATTTTATTAAATTAAATTACATAACTGTGGGAGACATAGCATACTTAGGGTTAAAACTATAAAAATAGGCATTTATAGGCATTTCTCTGACCCTATCTGAAATTTGTAGTTTTTCACAATTACAGGTGCTCTAGGAACATAACTCCCATGAATTTTGGGAGTCCACTGTATTCTCTCTAGATTCTGCCCCCAACCAGGATTGGTCTATCCCCCCCCCCCATACCAGATATCAAACTCAGGACCTTGAGCTTGCCAGGCAAGGATTGGTCTATCATTGCAAGGCACAGTCACCATTCAATTGCCCAAACAGGACTCCCTCCCTCCAATTATTTGAATCCATCTCCTTTACTGGGTCCTTACTGTCCTCCTCTTTCTCTATTCAGGGCATCACATTGTCCTTCCCTATTGCTGATACAGCCCAGAACAAATTCACATTTCTAATCACGCTCCTTTTCACAATGGAGGCAGAGTGATTGTTCTCATGTGCAAATTTGAGCATGTTCCTCCCTGTTGAGCTACTTTGAAGTAGAGATACCTTCTCTGTGTATGCACACTCCCCTGGCTCATTGCTGCTCCTCTCCAGCACCTGCTCTTACCCTTCCTTGCTTGCATCTTGAGCTCCCACTGTTCTGAGTTATTCATCTCACTGTGCCAAGAGGGACTCCTGCCTGCAGCAGAGCTACTGGTTGATGGCTTACTCTTGGCAAATAATTGGGCAACCAGACGAAAACTATGGCTTTGATTTCAACACACAGGAAGATGGAAACTTTGAAGAACAGACCATAAAGGAATTCTAGGACTCAGCCTTCTCAAGTCAATATTGTGAAAAATATCTATCATAAAATTCTGTTAGGGCTTGTGTTTAGATATCCCCCAAAGCCTTATGTGGTCTTAGGTGGGGCCTTTTTCAAAGGTGGCTGAATCTAGAGTGTGTGATTGATTCCTGGTGCAATGCTAGGCCCAAGGACACTAGGATTAAGGGTGTGAGTGTTACCACCCTAAGTAGTCTGGATAAGACAAAAGGGGCAGAAAGACACTGTTAAAATCCCTTGCTGCTCTTGCTACCTCCTGTCTACCAGGAACTGTTTTCTCCTCTGAAAGATCTGTCAGCCACACAACCCTGCCTTGGAGTCAGTCAATTATGGACTGAAACCTCTACAAACTGTGAACCAAATAAACCTTTTCCCCTTTAACTTTGGGTGTCAGGTATTCTGTCTCTGCAAGGAGAGAAAAGTAACTAAGACAAATTCCCTGAGGACCTAACATACAGTAGGAATGCTGGAACTAGGAGTGAACATGATCATGCTGATATTATAGAACTTCATTTTACAGGTGAGGCTCTAACTTTCCCAAAGGAGGCTGGGGATTTAGTTCAGGGATGCCATGCCTGCTTGGCAAGCACAGGGTCCTGAGTTCAATTCCTGGTACTGAAAAAAAAATTGCCCAAAGGATCATAGAGAATGGAAAACAGAACCCAGGTCTTCTGACAGACTTTGCTTGTCTTATTCATCACAGTATCCTCAGTGCCTAGTGCTATGCTTGGTACACAGTAGATATTAAGTTAAAATTTGTTAAATGTGTGATAATTCAAGTTCTTTTTTTGCTACTGAACATTTTTTCTTCTATATCCTATCTTTTTCTATCAATTTACGCAACTATAATTGAACAACATTAATTCCTTGGCTCATCAAATACAGAGGGAAGACATTGCTTCATGCCCCAGAGGAGCATGAACTGGGGTATCTGGAGCCTGGTCACTTGCTGCCACATCACCCACACCATCACACCTATGCATCCTTATCATGGGAGCGACTTAGATGAGACTGGCGTAAAAGCAGGTTCCCTGAAGCGCTGATGGAGCCTTGTGTAAGAAAAAGGCATCCATCTGGGAGAACAAATTAAAAAGTTTGAAATGAGTAAGAGTTCAGCCACATCAGTTGGACACCGTGTGGTAGGCTGTGATTCTGGCTTAGGATCACTGGTTATGCTCTTGCTCATGTCTTGCTGTTGGTCTACTATGGAAGCCGAGTGGCCATGGCTTAGATCTCTCTTTCAGAGTCAGGTGAAGAGATTTCCTCCCTCTGGCCTCTTCTCTCTGGCAGCAGTGGGAAATGATCCTCTGTGTCTCATCCACAGGTGAGTTTTAAAGAACAGATCTGGATAATTTGTGATGGGAGTGGGGTAGTTTCATTTTATATTGCAGAAGCATTTTCCAATCAATATTTATTAAGAAACCCAGTGCTTTGTATAATAATATAATTAAATGTAACTTGTTCTGTATCCTTCAAATGAATAAGAACCTATAAGAGAGAGGGGTGTGACACTTGAATTTAACTCTCTCAGTCCTTAGCAGATATCCATGAGAATTTCCAAAAAGCATTAGTATTGAAGGAAAAAGATACTGTGAACCTTTCTCTAGATTTCAAGCATTCCAAGAGATCAGAGACATCATGGAGACACTTTCTTCCAGAAAGTGAGAATGAAGTAATCAATGTAATTGAGCCCTAAAGTTAACTCTTGAACTTGCTAGCAGATATGGTAAAAAGGGACACACAATGGGTGACTTTGCTTTTTTCTTTTTCTGATAAACATAGTAATCACTCAAGGAGACAAAGTTATTCCTCGCAAGAAGTTCTAGAAAGGGCTTACTACAGGGAGCATGATATGGGAGGTAAGAAATATCAAAAGAGAAGTGAGCATAGCCATTTCCTAATTCACTCACCACTAGCACTAGAGCCATATTGTTGAAATGTGGATTACTGAAAGCTCTTTCTCTCTGAAGTACAAAGATGCCATGACCTGGGGTACTGTTTCCTTGATGTCTCATCTGATATGCAAATGGGGACCAAGAAGGTCAGATAAGTATTAAGTCCATTTGGTTTCCTCTCAGATACCAGGGACCTGAGTTCAAAGTCAGCCCAGATGGAACTTCCCAAGGAATGCCTGCCATATGCATCAACTGGGAGACTGAACAGGACCCTGTAGAAGCTGCCCTACAGGAAGGTGGCTATAGTATCCTGGGAGAGCTGGGAATGCCCTGAGGAGGCGGGGCTTTGCAATGGCTGAGCATGGTGCCATGAATGAGAGGAAGTAGGGAAGAAACACAAGTGGAAGGAGTGTTTATAAATATGCACATGCCTAGTTTGAATCTTTGGGCAAGACAGTCAAATGTGTGGGGAAGTCCCAAGGGAGACTTGGAATGCTAGGCACATTTTATTTATTTTACCTGTTGTGTAATTAAGGGAACTGTAACAGAAAAAATATTTAGAAATGTGGAAATGTTGCATGTAGTTACCACAAATATGTGAACAGCATCTTAAAGATATAAAATACTTACCCAAATACTGTATTGAGATTTTTGGACTTAGAAAGGAAGTGTATGTGAATGGAAAGATGATGAGTTTTGGAGTAGGACACTTGGGTTTAAATTTTGATGATCTAACTGATGTTAAGCCTCTGGATAGGTGGCTGTAAGCTTGCCCACCAAGTTCATCCTTGACCCTCTAGGAAGGCCCAGAATCTCTGTACTGGGAGTGATCTTAAAGCTTACTAAGATCTGAATTTATTACCCACCAGAAGGTATTAATGGTATTTATTTTTGATCAAAGTTTAACCTGAAACCTTAAAAATATTGGTACAGATTCTGAAGAGCCCTGACTCAGAGCCTATATGACTTGTGGCAGAGGCAAGCAAGACTATGGGTGGTAATATTTACCACTGATTTGCCAGGTGGCTGGAGATGGAGATGAAAAGCATGACTTTATCAACTGAGGTAAATACACAAATTATACAGACACAACTTCCAGCCACCGTGGACAAAGCAGCAGAAGTAGTTGAACATATACTACTCTGAATGTGCTCAAGGCTGGCTCAGGAACAATGAGAACTTTCAACAGGTTGTCTTGGAAGCACCAAGGGCCTTCACACCAGCAACGCATTTCCAAGAGGCCAGTGTGCTAGTGGCCTGTTCTTTTTTTATTTTTCCTCTTTTTTGTTTCTCTTCACTTTGCTTCATCCAAACTTTTTGGCCCTTTGGCCTGCCTTCATCTTCGCGCAAGGACAGGCTGTTACTTACCATGCCCTTTAGTGTCAGATCTGCTAAGGGAGACCGGTTGCCATGGAAATCTGGCCAAACATGTAAATCAACAGTGAGGAAACCCACAGGCTGAGCCTTCTTAATCAGATCCAGGTGACTATTCAAATATGCATATACACTCTGGCATCTGCAAGAAAAGTGGATTTTGATTTTAGAAAAGGGCTAGGGTCAGGAGCCAATTGTTCTTCAGGGGGAAAAAATTGCACTTCCATATCAGACCCAGAAAGTAAGCACACTCCCAAAATCTCTGTCAAAGAAACTACCCCTAGAGAAGCCAGTCTACTGCACTCTCTAATCTCACCTTAGTACCATGTCCTACTGGGAAGCAATAAGGTTTGAAGTCAGCAGACCAGGTCTGGGAAAGGCTTTACTCCTGATAGGTAGGTGACCATGGAAAAGGTTCTCAAACGTTTGAAACTACCCTCTTCTCATCTGCAATAACAGATACCAAAATCCCTGTCCAGCTTACCTCAGTTATTGTGAAAATCAAAGAAGACTGTATGTTAACATGCAATATTTTGGGAACTGTACAGTACATTACACATGTAAAGGATTCACTAACATCAGTCTTTCTCACTGTAATAATGATGATGAGATGACAAAGGGCGACAAATATATATTTCTGAATCCAAAATAGGAACTTGGTAAAGGAGGTGACTGGATGTCATGAATCCAGCTTGGATCAGGAGATGAGATTTGATTTTTATTCCTAACACATGAAATGACATTATGTAAGTTCTTTCTCCTTTCTAAGCCTTAGTTTCCTCATGTAAAGAACGAAGGAGCCAGACCAGTCCCCTCATTCTTCATGTGAGAAGGAGACAGAAGATGGTGGGCTTGGGAGTCAGGACAGTGCTAGATTCAGATCTTGGTATTACTTCTCCTAGCTGGGTCACACATATTAGCCTTTCTGAATCCAACTGCCCCATTCATAAAATTGGTGTAACAATAACTACCTTGTTTTCAATCTCACTGCCTGGCATCCCGATTGAAGTTGATTAGCCTTGTTGTTCCTAAAGGTGATGCCTTCCAAAGCTCTCAACTAAGGAAAGTGAGTATATCAGATGTCAGCATCTCTCTACTTCCAGCTGTTGTCCCTGAACTACAGCTTTAAAGGCTAAAAGCATGGCTTGAATAATGGTAGAATAAAAATATAGGAAATCAGGGCCGAAGGGAGGTCAATACCTCAGACAATAGTTATGATTTATGATTTCTGGTTGTAGTTTTACGATACTGGGAACATCCCCATGGATCGCATGAAGCTTCTGAAAGTTTTCTGAACTGAGTGTAAGGAAACGAACAACTAGAGCAGTGGTTTTCAAACTCTCTTTCCTCCCTTGATCAGTGAAACTATTTTATTAAATGAAAATTTCATAAGGAAATACTATATAGGAAATGAAGAGAATCAAAAGTGCCTTGTACACAAATGAATGTGTACGTACCTGACTGTGTGTGTGTGTGTGTGTGTGTGTGTGTGTGTTCTGTGGGGTAAAGGCAACCCTATCTACTCACAAGCTCTTTGTTTCTTGCTGTAGCACTTCATGCCCAGTCTAAAATTTTCTCTCTGATCATATCAGGAGGAATAAGCTACTACCCAGAGAAGGTTCAACCACCACAGGGCAGCAGCTCCCTTCCCTGAGGAGATGGTTGGCCTTCTACCACCACCCAAGAAGGGAGGCATCACTAACAGCCCTCCACAGGAGAACACTCTGAGGCAGAGAGGCAGGACCGGGTCCACATGAAACCCGCGGTGTGATTCTGAACCCATGTGCTTTACATATCTCAGCTCAGAAAGTGTTTGTCAAAGCTCACACTCACACCTTATTTTAGGATATTATCGTTTTCTGAAAGGATTCTCTGAGCCCCCAGGGCAGTAGGCCAGAAGAATATAAGGGGTAGAATATGATCACACCCTGTTTTTCTGTCTCCTAGCTCTCTTTGCTTCTGGTCCAACAGGACCAACATTTGCAACAGAAGCCTTGTGAACATTCTTTTTAACCCAAAGCCAAGAGTCTGTACTAACCTAGCTTGCCATTTCAGAATACCATCACTGCTCTTAGAGGATATATTTTTTTAAATGCATGTCTATAAATCTTTTCATTCTGCCTCTCAGGGAATCTCAAAGCAGGGCATTTAGTTTCAGACATCTGAGTCAATAAGAGCCTACAGTCCTAATAATTATTAATTTGTCATTGTCTCATTTACTGTGGGTCTCTGCAAACAGTGAGATTCATTTGGCCTCTACATATACGGTCACTCATGCTCTAATGAGATCCCTGGGGGATGGGACATATGTTTACCCTTTTGACTCCTCACCTCTGCAGCTGTATGCTTATTCTGTGGATTCAGCCATTTCTCTACATGTTTTTTCCATTATACCTTACCATGTGAATTATCTGAGTATAGCATTCAAAATAAAATGTACTTGGAAGACATTAAAATAACTAATGCACATCATCATTCACATAATTTTAATCTTGCATGATACCTTTTTGGTCCTGACTTTGTTTCATTTTAATTTGGTATGTTTTATCAACTCTCTCTCAAATGGCAGTCTGCCCTCTTCTAACTAGGGAGTCACCCAGTGACTATGCTCGCAACTGTCATTTCCCTCTCATGAACTCCAGGATCATATATCCTGTTTCAGAGGGACAGATTTGACCTATGCAAGTCCAATTTGGAAATGGAGAAGGGGATCGGGGAGAATAAGGAGGTGAAAGTACAAGGATCAAAAAATTCAAGGTATTACATATATCTACACAAGTAAATATATATGTGTATGTATACCAATTCCCCCAAATGAATGGAATTACGTACCTCAAACACACGCCAATAAAATAAATAAACAAAAATCTTAACATTCAGAAAGTGACTTCACCATGTACCAGCTGAGTGAGTAGGTACACAAAACCCCTCTGAAACCATCTATTTCACTATTTTGCAATTGGGGTTAATACACTCTACCCTAGAGGCTGCTGGGAAGATTAAATACAGAGCCCTGAGCAGTATACAATGTTAGGTGATTGACAAATAGATCCCTCTCCTTTGCTGTTATAGGAAATTCATCATTAACTTTAAAAGAATCCAAGAGTCACTGATGAAGATTTTTATTCAAAAAGCCTGTTGTTTGTAATCTTAAATGCAGACAGCATCACTGAAGTTTCTCCTCTGCTCTCCCTCTCCATAAATCATTTAATTCTTTGGATTCATAGTCTACTCAGAAGTAGTCTGAAATCAAAGCTTGAATATGTTTTATGACAAAAGACATCTGTATCCTTTCTAGAGGCAAGGGGAAGTCCTGGAAAAGAGGCTTCCACACTCCAGTTGCTTACTTCTTAACCCAATGCTGTACGTGTCCTGCTGGTTCCATTCCAGTGAAACACCTTACTTTAACCTCAGTGGATCACTTTCTGCATTTTATACTACTTCCCCACTTCTTTCTTATTAGTTCTCTCCCCCTCTCTCTCTAGTTTCCAGAACTCTACCCTCTACAGTTTTCTATCTCCTCATCAGGTGATCTGTTCCTTCGCTTGTCCCTTAAATATCTGACTGTTCCAGAGCCCTGTCTTTGACCCCTTCTTATGCTTTATGTTCCCTTGGATGATTCCTCCCTTCTCTGATGGCACTAGTTACCATCTAGCACTGAGGATTTCCCAATATATATATATGCATATCTTCAGTGCACTCCCCTCTCGCGAGTTCCAGCTCAAGTATCCAAGCACCATCAAAGGCTTCTTCCTGGATGTTCAAAGGCAACTAAACTGAAATGTCTATGACACATGTCACCTTTTCTGACAGACTTGCTTCTCCTTCTGTGCTCTTTTGTTTATTCAAAGCAAGTATCATCTGAACAGTTGCTTAATTAACCAGGGTGGAGGCAGTGTCAGAGCAAATACCATTTCTGACTTTTTTCCTTAGCTCCCCAATTCAATCTTTCATCCGGACTTGATTCCTTTCTCTAAACATTCCTGAAACTAGCAAACTTTTCACAAGCTTAACTGTTGCTACTCTATTCAAGCCACCTTCAAATGCCTAGATCAGAGACTTGGCCTCTGTATCAGTCAACTTTCCCATCATGACACTTTCAGGAAGAGAGGTTTATTTTGGCTCACTATTTCAGAGGGTTCAGTCCAAGGTTGTCTGACTCCAACAGAGAAATGGCATGGTGAAAGTGTGTGGCGGAAGAAAGCTGCCCACTGAATGGCAGCCAAGAAGCAGAGATGGGGAGGAGCTGGGGAGAAGAATACAGCCTTCCAGGTAATGCCTGCCTTAGTGACCCATCCCTAACCAGGCCTCACAATCTCCTAAGCTCTTAATTCACTGATGAGTATAGCACCCCCAAGATCAGGAGATCACACAAGATCTGTAAAGGGTGTCTTAGATCTAAACCATAACAGCTTCCAAATTTATCTCCCTGCTTGAAATCCTGCCAGCTCCAAAGAGGCTTACCGCACTTCTTTTTGAGTGACTCCTCTACAGTGCAGGTCTGGTTATGACTCCCACCTCTACCTGAAATCTTGCAGTGGCTCTTCCCCTTGGTCCTCAGAACAAAGTGCAAGCTTCTTTTATGCTGCAAGACCTACTTCGTTAGCTAGCTCTCCCTGCCTTTGCTGTATGGCACGAACATCCTCCACTTACCTCTCCTCACCCCTGTGCTCTCCATGCTCTCACCTCAAAAATCTACTTTGTGTTCTCATAATATGTATACCTGACCTATGAATGTTCACTTGTTCTGCTCCTTCTTACCTAGAATCCTCTTCCTTGCCCTATTTACCTGTCCTATGTCATTCACTATTCCAGACTCAGGTGTGATACCTTGTGGAGGCCTTTCCTGGGGCTGGACTTATTTGATTGCCCCTTCTGAACACAGCCCTCTCTGGTCCATTACTTTCCTCTCCAGCGCAACTCCCTTAATGGAGGGGGTGATCCTGGCACTGCTGTGCACCCTCACAGTGAACCCCACCTGCCCTCATCCTCTGTAGGGATTTGACAGTAACATCCCTGTGTCTGGTCTGGGAATAAGGAGACTGCTGACATGACACAGAGTACATTATTTACCTGCTTGTAATACAGCAGTGGCTGACTGCTTTCTCTGCATAGAAGATCCACATGCTGCCCCTGTCTCCA